TTTTTTTTTAATTTTGTCTTTATTCACACTCTGTGAGGTGAGGCCGGGATTGCTGATGACAGAGATGTAGACACAAGTGTCTTTACAATGCTACAGAATAGCATGCCCCCATTACATATGCTGAGAAGATTCTACCAAGTAGTGTTCCCTGGGGATGAATTCTGACTTGGTTCCATTACTGAGCTCGGGCTCACACACTATCGAATCTTTACTGATACTTCCAAAACTGACACTGTGTCAGGATCTTTTCACGTTTCTTTTCGGGAAAGAGTTTATGTGTCTGTAGTGGCAGCCAAGTTGCACTCAAGCCATCGGCCGACCCTCTAACAACTTCCAGACTGATTCGGCCATGCAAGTCTCTACTAAATTATGTGTGAAAAAATAACGAACATGTTTTCCTCTGGATGCCAGATCACTTGGGAGTACCTGGTAATTACGCATCTAACCTTTTTTTGTTTTTGTTACCGTCTCACTAATATGCAACCTCAAAGGATCCACTTAATTAACATATTTATCACTGTAACCTGGCATGTAAGGATTCCGCTAATTAGGAGTCTTGGCATTCACTAAATGTGATTATGGCATTTGCCGTTATCCAAATGCTTCTTGTAAGCGAGAATAACAAAATGCTTAGCAAGCTTCATGTGGGATTCCAGAGGCGTGAGCCCCCTAACAGACTCTTGCCTGAGCCTACGCCCATGCACGTCAGAAGGCATCATTTCGTCTTAGCTACTTATTCAGACTCGTCCCCGATATACCTAATGAGGGCCCGGCATGCATCCACTCAGCTAAGACCCCTCTCCCTTTGGTCGTTGTTAGTTGTACTTGACGACAACCGACCTAGACGGAGCTTAGTAGTTCCGCTAAAGCAACAACAATCTGAATAGAGTACAGCGGGTCACATATAGCCTGAGTGCCGTTTTCTGCACACGTTGTTTAGTTTACTTTTTATTTAGCTCGGACAAAACAATGTGTCGTATTGCCTTATGTCGAAAGTTGGTGACCCCAATAATTTAGAGACGAAGAGCTCAAAACCAAAATCTTAACTAACTTTTGGCACACCCTAATATACATATACAGTCGTGGCCACATAATAAGGGACACTACTTCTTTACAAGTTTTATCGATTGTTTCTTTACTTTGATAGATTTTTTTACAAAAATATAGTTTCGCCCGCAACGAAAACCAAATAATTCAAAGCTTCAAACCTTGTACAAGATTTATAAAAAATAGCGAAATTCCAAAAAAATTGCTATCAAAATTTAAATCTTTATAATCGAGACTTCTAGAAAAATAATATTGTGCAAGTTTCAAGAAGCTAATAACTCACGTTGATTTTTGAGGATTTATTTTTTGCTGACGGTGTAGCTAATTTGCCTCCCATGAGGCATGGCCTTCGTCGTAGTACTATGTTCTTCAAAAGTATTATTAAAAATAAGCAAAGAGTAAACTAATGGTCAAATCTTAAAAAGAAGTAGAAAAGAAAAGTAATTATGTGACCACCACTGTACATATGTCGCATAATCAGAACCAGCATGTTCATGCACTTTTAAAAAGAAAAGGATGGCCTAAATAGTTTCAAAATCTACATATATGTATTTACTTATATATTTGACAAAATCTACACACGCTTCGCGAACAAAATTTTCAAAAGAAAGTAAACAACATTAATAAAGATAAATATTTGTTTAGTTAAAAAATCGAATACCCAAAAAACTAAATACAAAAAAAACACCTATATCTCTAAAATGATTTGCAAGTATGTATGTATCTTCCACAGCCTCATTTTGCTTTGCCTTTCTTTGCCGCAGGCTTTTTGGTCATCTTCACAGTATCCGCGTCGCCAGCGCCCACTTCAGCAACTTCTATAGCAGTTGTCTTAGCCTTGGCGGTCGGTTTCTTTTTCGGCGTTGCTTCTGGTTTAACCTTTGATACCGCGTTTGGTGGCGTTATGGGAGCTTCAGATTTAGCGGGTGCTCCTCTCTTCGGTTTGCCTGCTATCACTTTTGTTGTGCTACTTGAAACAGCTTTAGCGCTCTTACTTTGACTTGTCGCCTTAGACTTCTCCGCCGGCTTATTATTGACTATGGTTGACGATTTTGTTTCGTTTGAAGTAGTTTTCTTCGGCTGAATTTTATCGGCTGCTTTTGCCATCTTCTTCGTTGTAGCTGACGCCTTTGGCGCCTTCTCAACTGTATCACCTATTTTGATCGATGTCTTCGCTGTTTTAGTTTTCGTAGTTTTTTTGTCGGCGGTTGTTTTCTTCTCGCCGTTTTCCGCCTTTTTCTTTGCTGCCTTCGCTGATATTTTCGGCATTTTTTCCGCTTTGGCAGCAGCCTAATTAAAATAAATTTTATTTCATTTTACTTACAAAATTCAAAAACACATCAAATCTTACCGTATCCTTCCTAGCCTTTTGCATAAGCTTCTTTTGGTCCTGACGCTTTTTCTTTTCCTCTAGTCGATTCAACTCTGCAGACACTTTAAACGAGCCGCCTAGTCCGGTACCCTTCGCCTGTACCAATTTTCCATTTGCCAGGGCCTTCTTTATAAACTTCTTGATTAGCATTAGCGTACGCGGGCCATCCAGTTGTGGATAATTATTCGTTATGTATTTTTTGATAGCAATGGTCGAAGAACCGCCACGCTCATTTAAGCTTCTTATAGCCGCAAAAACCATCGTCTCGGTACTGACATTTTTCAGGCGTGCTGGTACACTTGTGGAGTTCGCAATAAATTTCGTGTTACCAGGAGATTTAGAACCGTTCATTTTGGATTTCTTGTCCAACTCCTCTGGCTTTCCGCCATTTACATCCAGCTTGCCATTAACATTTTTCACAGAAATGTCCGCGTCACTACTTACAGAAGCATCGGAATCATTTTGAGACTCCTCTGATTTGCTCATTAAAATTTTGTAGTCTCCATTATGTGCTACTTTCGATTCACTACTGCTGGCGGCAATGGGTGGTTGGCCTTCGATGCCATTTTCGTCCTGTAAATCCTCCTCTGCATTGGAATCGGCAGTCTCGTCTCCGTCTTCATCTTCAATTGATTCCTCTAGCTGGTCTTCTTCACTCACCTCTTCCTCCTCTTCATCATCAGAGGTCTCAAATGGTTGACACAAAAAAAATTTCATTTTTACAAGAGATTTTGTGTTGAACAATAAAACAAACAAATATCACGTTCACATATGTATGTGCATATAGGGTATTTTGAAATGACTATTCAAGCTAGACTGATTTGACAAATTCTCTGTTTGCGGTAAATCCAGTAATGCATGGAACGGGTTCTTTAACCCATATATTTACATACTTTATGTAGTTAGTAATATTCAGTTTGCACATGCACATGTATGTAAATAAAAATTTAATAGATCCTAAATATCGCAGGCAATGAAACGAGTAGGTTGTAGTTGCTTAAGAAAGAAAACGAGATGAAACCCTTAGTGTATAATTAACGATAAAATTATTCACATGAAAGATTTTATGTATTGTTTGCAATATTTTTTTTCTTTGTAATGAATAAGTATTCTAAATATGTACTGTGGGAGTTTTAACTTGTTTTTGCTCAAATTTTAAGTCATTTCTCTTTAACCATTTTTTGGGCAAGTCTCAAAATCTTAACACTTGAAGTCAGATATCAGATAATTATGAAATTAAAAAAGTATAAAACTTAATTATTTAATTTGCACAGAAAAAAAGTTCAAAAAGTTTTCATTAATTTTAATAAAGTTTCATTGAATCTGAAAAAAGGTTTCATTTAATTAGAAAAAGATTTCACTTAATTTGAAAATCATTTCATTTAAACTGAGAATGATATATATGAGAGATAGTCGCACTACGCTTGCGCTTACAACAATAAAAATAGAGAAAATAGCGGACTCTAAATCGATAAAAATCGATCTATGATAACCTGTGGTATCGTCTTCGCTAAAGTGACCCTAAGCTAAAGGGGGGGAGGGTCTGCGGCGTTTTTTCTTTTTTAAATAAAAGCGCAATTTTTTATTCCAAATTTTCGCCCGCGGCACTTTTCCTTTTTTCATATAAAACGATATTTTAATATTTATTTAGTCAAATATGATGCGCAGAAGAGTGTTTGCTTACAAATCATATATCAATTTAAAAGTATTTTTATGCTCTTTCTGATAAATATATTTGTTAATATAGTTAATTACGTAGTTTTTACGAAAAACATACATTTTTATAAACAACTTTGTTATAATTTCGTTTTTTTTTTTACTTTTCCTCCAAATGTGTATATATAATATGTATAGATATAGAATGAAAGGCCTTTCAATTACCTTGTAAACCGTGTCCATATTTATGCAATCGTTTCAACAGTTTTCGAAATATAAGGTTTTGAAAATGTTGAAAATTCCACGTTTAGCGCCCCCTAGCTCCGCCCCTGTCAATTTGCACCAAAAAAAAATAAATGCCGTTAAAATCACAAAAAGGGGGCGGGCCACGCCCACTTTTTCTTTTTTCTCTTGTTCAAAGGTCCGGATTCTTTAGGTCTTCCCCATATTTTTATAAAAAGTTTTGCGAAAAATTGAATAGCTATAAAATAGTTGCCCGTATTGTAGAAAATTCGCTGTTCCTAAACTTCATTGACTGACTGTATATATGTACATAAACTCATGTGTACATACATATCTACACATACCCGTACATACATATGTATGTATATGTATGTATACATACTCGTAAATGCAGCCAATTTGCTGGCACTCGGTTTCACATATTTTGTAAAATGACTTGCAAGCACTTTAATGCATACACTTTTCACAACACAAACATTGAATTATATTAATTGAAACACTTACTAAAACATATTTGCACATTATATATTTAAGTTTTATGACTGATTTATTAAAACTTTTCACATAAATCGAAAGACCGAGCAAACGAGCACTTTATACAAACAACGATTTGAGCATGTAGAACTGAGGATACGGAACTGCTGACAATAGGAACACAGAGAAGAAGGAAACTATTTTTAAAATAATTATTTTCTATTTTTCGATTTCCCATTACTACCAGCGAGGACACCAACCACGAGTATTTTGCGCAACGAAAATTTTGTAAACACAGGAAGATACATATGCTGAGATGTTGCATTCATATTGTTACGATTATCCTTGAACCCTCGTCCGGATTTCCCAAATCTTC